GAGGGTTGCGATCCCGTTGCCGGTCCCCGGTCCGGTACGAGGGCAACACTGAGGGTTGCAATCCGTTGCCGGACACGGAAAAAGACAAAAGACCAAAAAAAAAAGAAAAAGAAAAGAAAATTAAGATTTTCATATATGTATATCCATATGAACCCTGCAAAATAGAGGCTAGATCTACTTAAAAAGGAAGCCCAATTAAATAAAATCTGATAGTTAACAGTATAGAATTTTCATAAGGGACATTTTATCTAAAATCATCCTTTTCCACACTAGAGATGAGCTTTTGTGACATACTGTAGGCCTAGATGAAATACTGCTGCCTAATCAGCATGTGATAGACAATTCAAGTCTCTCTCACACTGTCTTTGAATAGTATCCTGATCAGGGACTTTTACATCAGTGTTCACCCTAAGAGGCTGACGATCTTTGATTTCAGTTTTCAGTTCCTCTGGTTTTATAAATTGACAATGTCTAGACAATTCAGCTGGGCACAAACTTCTGGAAAGAAGAGTCGACCTCTGTTCCCTGAAATGCTTCCTGTTGCCAGAGTTAGAAATTTTTGGCTTCTTGTGAAATTTCCTTTTTACTTTCTTTAGGTGTTTTAGCTCACTTGGAAAGACTAGAGGCTCAAGAAAACAGATGCCATAAACAATCCAAAGAGCCTCAGAAAGTGCAGGGAGTGGAAAGTGCTCTTGGAACTGAGATTCATAAGCTGAGACGTCTGCGAGACAAGCTGAGGGCTGAACTGAAGCAGCGGCGAGCCAGAGTGAGTAGAAGGGTGATGGTGGCAGGCTTTCCCTGGGTGTGGAGAACAAACGTGACCTGGGAATTGGCATATTTGAATAACGTGTTTTACCAGTAATCTTACTGGATCGATTTCAGTCCTTCATCCCTCCAATGATCAAACCTGTAAAGTTGTAGCTAATATCAATATCACCTATTCCATCTTATGGATATAATATAATTGTCAGACACTACTGATGGGCCAGGCAGGTTCTTCATAATAGATTGTTAACCTGCCCCACAGACATTAAAGCCTGTTACCTCAATCACAGCCTGCTTTGAGTCATTGGTACTTTTGTCCTTATTGCCTTCTTTCTGTCACCCACCCAGACTCAAAAACCTAGCAGGAAACATTGACCCTTCCTTCTTTTCAGTTTTTTCTCTAGCCCAGGTCTAGTCAGCAAGACCTGTCAGATTTTCCTTTATATTGTCTTTGTGCTTCCTTTCGCCATTTCCATAGTTATCCGTGTATGTAGTGAATATTTATCAGGTGGTTTGGATACCAGGATCATTATAGTAGTTTGTTATTTGGTCTCTCTTCTAGTATTTCTACTTTTCCAATAAATCCTGAATAGCCAAGAAGATGCATCATGAAACACACTGTTTTTCTGCTCATTCATTGCCTGTGGGATAAGGTCAACCTTTCTTTGCTTGTCTTTTCTTCTTCCCTCCCTCCCTTCCTTTTACCTTTTTCCTCCTGTCCTTCTCTTTCTTCCTCCCTTCTTTCCGTTGCTTTTTTAGTAAAATAAAAATAAAGTGCACAAACCTGGTGAACTTTTTTTATAGAAGGAGCACAACCAGATAACTACTACACAAATCAAAATACAAAATTTTTACCATTACCCCAAAAGTATCTCTTTTGCCTCCTCCTAGTCATTTCTTTCAAAGTAACCACTATTCTGATTTCTGTCACCATAGATTGATTTTACCTGTTTTTTTTTTCCTTTTTGTCTTTTTTTGTGTCCGGCAACGGATCGCAACCCTCAGTGTCGCGCCCGTACCAGACTGGGACCGGCAACGGGATCGCAACCCTCGGTGTTGCACCCGCACCTCGCTCAGCCAGTGAGCGGGAACCGGTCTGTATGTGGGATCTGAACCCTCGGCGGGAGCGCGCCACCACACTCCCAAGCGGCGCACTGTAGCAGTGCGCTACTGGGCTGGCCCGATTTTACCTGTTTTTGAACTTTATATAAATGTAAAAAGTATATACCCTTTTACGTCTGGCTTCTTTCACTGAATATTATGTCTGCAAGATTCCTCCATATTGTTGCGTATAGTGGTTGTTCTTTTTTTATTGCTGTATAGTTATTCCATTTTATGAATATGCTATAATTTACCTATTCTGTTGATGACATTTGGGTTATTAGAGTTGTTTCATTGTGGGATGATTATGAATATTGCTGCTTTGAACATTCTTCTCCTGTCAGTTTAAAAATATACACTTTTCTATTAGATATATACCTAGTAGAATTGCTGGATCATAGGGTGTGCATCTTAGCTTTAGTAAATACTGCCAGTTTTTGAACAGTATACCAGGTTTACATTCCCAGCAACAGGGTATAAGATTTTCATTGTTTTGCATCTTTAACAGTACTTGGTATTGTCAGGTTTAAAATTTTTTCATTCTAATGGAAGTGTAAAAGTATCTCATTGTGAATTTAGTTTGCATTTGCCTAATAACTAATGATGGTAAGTTACCTGTATTGGCCACTTGAAAATCTTCTGTTGTGAAGTGTGCTTTTCAAGCCTTTTGCAAAATTTTTATTAAGTTGTCTGTCTATTGTAGACTTCTTCACATACTTTGGATATGAATTCTTTGTTGGATATATGTATTAGAATCTTCCTTAGATTGTGGCTTACCTTTTCACTCTAGTGGTATCTTGTAATGAAAGAAAATCTTCATTTTAATGAAGTTTGATTTAGGAATTTAACTCTATGCTTAGTATTTTTATTTCCTATTTAATAAATCTTTACCTAACTTAAGATTGTGATGATATTCTCCTGTGTTATTTTTAAAAGTTTGTTGTTTTATCTTTTACTTCTATCATTACAGTCTATCTAGAATTGATTTTGTGTGTATGTTTTACAGTAGCGGTTATGCTTCTTTTCTTGTTTATTTCCATACTGATATCCAGTTCATCCAGCACCACTTCTTGGAAAGATCACTGTTTTCCCATCACATGGTAGTGGATCTTTGGGTCCACTGTGGGTCTGTTCTGTTCCATTGGTCTGATTGTCCATCTTTGTGCCACTAACAGAGGTTCATTTATTGTAAGTCTTTATACTTTTCCTCTTCAGAATTATCTTGTCTGTTCTTGGCCTCTTGAATTTCCCATAAATTTGAGAATCAGCTGTCAATTTCTAAAACTAAATCTCCGGGCCAGCCCGTGGCTCACTCCGGAGAGTGTGGGGCTGATAATACCAAGGCCACAGGTTCGGATCCCGTATAGGGATGGCTGGTTAGCTCACTTTGGAGAGCGTGGTACTGACAACACCAAGTCAAGGGTTAAGATCCTCTTACTGGTCATCTTTAAAAAAAAAAAAAATTAAACAAAAAAAACCCCCTAAATCTCCTGTAGTTCTTATTGGGATGGTATTGAATCTATAGACCAATTTGAGGAAAATTGACATCTTTACAATATTGTATCTTCCAGTCAATGTACATGATATATTTTTCCATTTATTTAGTTCTTTAATTTTTCTCAGTAATGAGTGTAGTTTTATGTGTAGATGTCATAATCATCATTTATTATATTTATTCTTATGTATTTAATTTTTCCTGATGTTTTTGTGTATGGCAAGGGTCAGCAAACTTTTTCTGTAAAGGATCAGTTATTTTAGGCTTTGTGAGCCAAACAGTCTCTGTGGCATCTACTCAACTCTGCTGTTGTAGCATGAAAGCAGCCATAAGCAGTATTTAAACTAATGAGTGGGGTGTTTTGCATAAAAATCTTATTTACAAAAGCAAGAGTCTGGCTGGATTTGACCCACAAACTATAGTTTAATGACCCCCTGATATATGGTATTATTTTTTAGAAGTTTTAGTTTCTAATTATTTGTTCCTATTATATAGAAATACATCTGATTTTTGCATATTGACCATAGGAGCTTTGATAAAACCACATATTAATAGTTTGTCTCTCTATTCTTTGGAATTTTTACACTTGGAATTATTTCATATGCAAACAATAACAGTTTTTTACTTCTTCCTTTCCAATCTTTGTAACTTTTATTTATTTTTCTTGCCTTATTCCATTGGCTAAGATCTGTAGTCTTTGTTAAGTAGTAATAGTCATTGGTTTAACCTATTTGCTGTAAATTTTGTATAGATACTCTTTATCAGATTAAGGAAATGCTCTTCTATTTCTAGTTTGCTACAAGTTTTAATTGTGATCAGGTAGTGAATTTTATCAAGTGCTTTTGCTTCATATATTAAGGTGATCATATGGCTGTCTCCTTTATTAGTGTGTGATATATATTGATTGGTGTTTGAATGATAAACTGCTCTTAGTTTCCTGGAATAAACCTAACTTGGTTTGATGTATTATCCTTTTTATACAAGGATACTTCAAAAAGTTCATGTAAACATGGAATTAAAAGATAATATGAATCTTCCAGTGAACTTTTTTTTTTTTTCCCTTTTTTTTGTCTTTTTTACTGACCGGTAACGGGATCGCAACCCTCGGTGTTGCGCCCGCACTGCGCTCAGCCAGTGAGCAGGAACCGGTCTCCACATGGGATCCAAACCCTCGGCGGGAGCACCGCCGCACTCCCAAGTGGTGCACTCTCCAGTGCGCCACCAGGCCGGCCCCCAGTGAACTTTTTGAAGACCCTTTGTATAACGCTGAATCCGTTTTGCTGATATTTGCTAATAGGGCTTTTGCATCTAAATTCATGAGTGAGATTCCCTATGACTATTTTTCCCCCTGTAACAACCTCGTCAAGTTTGGGCATCAAGTTTATGCTGGTCTCAGCAGATTGAGGCATTTTCTTTTTCTATCCTCTGGAAGAGTTTATAAAAAATTAGTTATTTTTCCTCACATTTTTATAAAGAACTCTCTGGTAAAGTCCTTTGGGTCTTCTCTATGAGAAGATAGTTAATTTCTGATCCAATTTCTTTGATCAACATAAAGCTGTTCAGATTTTCCATTTCTTCTTGGGTCACTTTCAGGAAGTTGCATTTTTCAAAGATTTTGTCCAATTCATGTAAAAGCTCACATTTAAAATTGTTTGAAATTTTTCGAAACAACTTACTGTCTTGTGAATATGATCAGTCAGAGTGTTGTCTCACCTTTTATTCTGATATTGGTAATTTGCGTACACTCTTAACCTTTTCTCTCTTCTTGATCAGTCTTCTTAATGTTTTATCACTTTTGTGCCTTTTTCAAAGAACCGACTTTTGGCTTTATTCATTTTCTCTGTTCGTTCTGTGTTTTCATTGATTTCTGTTTATTATCATCCCCTTCTTCTACTCTCTTTGAATTTAAGTTGCTATTCTTTTATCTTCTTGAGATGAATACTTAATTGATATTTTTTAGTCTTCTTTTCTCTTGTATGCATTTAAGATTATAAATATTCTCTCTAAGCCCAGCTTCTGCTATATCTCACATGCTTTCTTTAATACGTCATATTTTCATTATCATTTCAATTTTCAGTTTTAAATATTTTCAGTTTCCATTGTGATATCTTCTTTGGGTTTGTTTTAGAAGTGTATTTATTTCCAAATATTTGGGTATTTGTTAGTTGTGGGGTTTTTTTTGGTTTTGTTGTTGTTGTTACTGATTTATAGCTTAATTCTATGTGGTCAGAATTAATGACCCAATATGTGGTCAGTTTTGATAAATGTTGGTAAATGTTTCAAGTACATTAAATGTGGATTTTGTGTTAATTATTGAGTACTGTACTCTATATATCAAATAGACCAAGTGTGCTCATAATGTTCAAATATTTTATATTCTTACTGATTTACTTGTCTACTCATGTTATCAGTAACTGAGATAGATTTGTTAAAATCTTTGTGGTTGTGAATCTACTTTTTTCCTTTTCATTTTGTTTTTGTGTATATATCGAGCACACACAAATTTAGGATTATTACTTCTTCCTTGTTGAGTTAATCTTTTATTATTATGAAATGTTCCATTTTTTTTTTTTTTTTTTTTTTTTAAAGATGACCGGTAAGGGGATCTTAACCCT